GCTCGCAGCTGCTGGCGGCGGGCAGCGGCGCCTTGCGCGGCGTGCCGGCCTCGCACTTCGTGGGCATCGACGGCGTCCGCGCCTTCCTGCACTCCTACTCGCACGAGGTGTCGCTCACGGCCGACTCGCGCAAGAGCCAGCTCCGCTTGTCGGCCGGCAGCTGCTGCGACACCCTCCCGGCCCGGCCGCCGGCTGAGGCTTCAGGTGAGCTCGTCGCCACGGGCGATCACGTTGCCGAGGACGGCGGCCAAGTGTCCTTTCAGGTACGTTCATTTTGTTTACCCTTCCTTTGTCTAACGCGGCGCTTAGGATTCTTGGGGCAGCCGCGGACGTTTCCAAGTGCACCGTTCGCAGTTTTGGAAATCGCCATTTGCGATGGTCGCCAGCTCGTGAATGGCACCTCCGCAACGTGTGGGTTTTACGTGCCGTGCTCTGTGCCGGCTGGGCAGAGCTCTTCGTGTCTAGCTTCCTCTAAGGCTGGAAGCTTGCCTTGCATGTGCGACTGCGCAAGGAAAGGTTGGTCTCGAGGTCTTCCTCTGACACTGCCTTGAAATTGTGAAGTACTTCCCTCTGTAAGTGCTGGTGCCTCTTGCTCCGGGGGGCTGAAGGTGGGAACGTGTCACAGCGTTACAGTTGGTGTGGGAGGCAGGAGAAGTGGGACTGCTGTTGGCTGGAGTTTCGTTTGAGCGGCGCTTTGTGTTTTTATCACGCACCGGGTCGTTTCTCGTTTTCTCCCCTGACATGTGTAATAGCGTTTTTCCTGTCGGTATTAGCTCTTCTGAACGGAATTGTTGCGTCATTAGCAAACGGAAGTTAGGAGCAGGGTCAGATATCTTCCCGGCAGCAGATGTGCTTGAGTAGTATTAGACTCTCTTGAAACGGAACGTTAATGGTCACGTGTAGAACTTTCCGCGACGGGTTAATACTTTGTACTTTTGATGAGGCCTTACTGCTTGTTTCGTATCATTACTTGCTCGCGCGTGTAGTAGCACTTGATCTTATACTCTTTATCATTTATTTTCGTTGAAAGTAGTGTGTGAGGAACACAGTATTATGTTTTCTTAATAGCGGTACTCGTTAGAAAGGTTCTCTTCGTTTCCTCTGCTCATTCCCAGCCACTGAGCAGTTCTACTTGCGGGATGGGACTATTACAGATAGAAAATTATTTTTATCGCGCACGGCGTGTTAGTTGAGGTGTTTTTCTCAAGTCCATCTTTGGTTCACTTAATTGTCGATCTTCCCTTGTTACGCATCTTTTTCATTTAACAGTCATTTAAGATGAACGTAAGCCATTATTGGAAATGAAAGTAGAGCCGCCTGTGCCTGCTTTGGGGCGGGTCTTGTACTTGTTTCATGTGTGAAAGTTCCTCACGCAGCGTGTTGCTCAGCCAGGAGTGTCAGCAGCGTCAATTTTGTGTACAAGAATGCAGTGTGTGTTTTCCACGCTGGAGGTTCTTCTTCCTCAACCGGGAGACCATTCCCAGACGGTCCTGCGAATTCCTTGTTGCTTGCAGGAATTTCCTTGGTTGGGTCAAAGTGAGCTCCAAACTCCGGATTGAGGAAGAGGGTGGAAGAGGAGCGAAATTACTTGTTGGTAAGTGTTAAATTCTAAAATACCTGTGTGTACGTGAGCACTGGCTGGTCACCTTGGTGGTGATCCACTGCTGTGCTCTTCCAAAGATGGAGTGGAGTTGAAGAACTGGATGTTTCCAGACCGAATGTTGTGCCTTGAGATTCTATAAGCCCCTTCTTAGGCCTTCAAACTATGGGTGAAGTGCTAGAAAGTAGAGTATTGTCACCGTTTCTGCTGGGGTGCGTTACAGATGGCATGGCACTTCAAGAAATGTCAAGATACTCTTGCTGTGGTTAGTCGTTTGTGGTTTTTATGTCGCCTCACAGCTTGTTTCCTATCGTTATTCCTCGTGTAGCAGCGCTTGATCTTTCGATGCTAAGTGTTTAAAATCGATGCAAACGGTGTGTGAGGAACAGAGTAACACGCATTCTTATCAGCGTTACTCGTTAGAGAGGTTTTCTCCTCCTGTGCTCCTTACCAGCCGGTGAGCACATCCAGAGCCTGCACCTGGAAAGCTTTTGTGAGAATGACCTTGCTGACCACGAGAAGCGTGTTCACGCAGCAATCTTGTGGCCTCTTCTGCCAAAGGAGGGTTAATCTCGGAGGGATCGTTACTGCCCTATGGGCACTTTCATCTGCTTTACTGTTCCTCATCGCGTCTTTTACAGAGAGGTGTACTTAGAGGTAGCGGTGTAGCCGAGGGTGTAGCGACAGTATGTCCTAATGTGCCTAATGCCGATATAATTTTCATTTCTTGCTCGGCAGCGTTACTCATAGGATTGGACTATTAGACATACACAGGTATTTTCATGGTGAACGGCTTATTAGGTTTTTCTAAAAGTCTATCGTTCGTTGCTTTATTTGTCACTATTGCCTTACAACACAGGATTTTGGTTTCGTGTTAATTGTTTGAAATGCATGTAAGCAGTACCTTAGTAATGCGATCACAAACGTTGAGGAAGGGTGAGATTCTGCGTAAATACCTGCTCAGTATGGGTAGGTGACCCTCTTGTATGTGTCTCTGCGGCTGAAGTAGAGCGTGGCTACTTCTTCGTGAGCATGGTCTTGCTGGCGAGGAAGAGCCTGTTCTCACAGCAACGTTGTGGCCAAGCGATCGGCCACTGCTACAGTGGAAGAGATTTGTGAAGGAGAAACTGAGTCCTGTAGTCCGTGTCTTTGTATCTTTTGAGGGAGCAGCAAGAGCCGCATAAGCAGGAACTGAGTTATCGCCAGGACCCTGTGAATGGACACAGTAGTTATCCATGGCGTTATCTCGTTTGGAGCAATAGGAGCGTAAGGAAAATCTGCTGTACCTGTAGTTTCAAAACTCGTGGTCTGTGTGGCGCTTGAAATGATTCAGCCGGTCATAATGTGTCCTGATCTCTCCACGGCCACGAACCAAGACTTGCTGGTTTGCAGAGAGTCTCGCATTCCGTGATTTCCTTTGATTGTTGCCGAGAGGTGGTGTTATCCTACAGACAGGCACTGAGGAGGATCGAGTACTTTTCCACAGACGTTGCACTCAGGATGGTTTTATCCTTTCCGTTTTCAGACCAGCCCACCCCTGGAGCGTTCTGTGTATTGTCGGTGCAGAATACACGTCGCTGTGTTTGTGTCATGGGTAAACTGCCTTCTCTAGTGCTGCCCGTCTGACTTCTCTTCTTGTGACTTTTTTGGCTGCCGTTTTCCTACAAGTCTCTGGGAAAGGTAGCTGACACGTCGCATACACCTTCGGCATCACCACGGAGGAGTACACCGCTCCTCTTTCAGTTATCGGAATAGCACACTGATAATCAAAGCATCCTGGGCGCATGGGTACTTTTTTGCTGCCCGTCCGTGTTCTTGTATCTGCTTACTTACCCCGTTCACCGAAAGAAGCAATTCTGAAGAAATGCTTTGATAGGTCTGTGTTCCCAGTTCTAGAGCTAGAAGTTGTTGTGATCTCCGTGATTTGTTAAACTAGGAGCATATATTGATACTGCTGTTGTAGAGAATAAGGCTTGCCATTTTCTCCCAGTCTCAGTCACTCTGAGAGGTATATAAACTAAAAGGGATATAAACAAGAATCTCCTCAAAGAAAACGGCGGGTCTGGCACTTCCTTTCAGTTTCTCCTCTGAAGTTTTTTGTAGCTGTTGCTTCTCAGAGCTCGTAGAAATTAAATGAAAGAGCTGGGGAAAGACAACCCGCAGCAAACGCAGAAGATGCTGGAACATGTCAGGCATTGGCTGTATACTGTACTTGCTTGTACTTACCTGTACTCACCTGTGCTCTGCTGTACGAAGTCTGCGCGCTCCTCCACTGCTCGGTAACACGTTCCCCAGGCAGACTCTTCATTTCCAATGGTGAACGGAGCTGCTTGGTTCGCCTTTCCGCGGGTATGAGAAAACTCGCCAAACTGAAAGTTGAATCGCGCTTTTCGGTAGCCGACGGCGCCGACTCCCGGCAGCTGCTGACAGTGCGGCTCGGAGCGTAGAGACCGAACCTCCGCACGCCGTCAGCCGGCTGCGGTGGCGTCGCGGCGCCTCCGGGTGCCGCTGT